TAAGTTATCTCAAAAGTTCCCTCTATTCAGGCAGTTGAATTAAACTCACTACGGGATTCAGCTCCAAGTTCAGACACCTACATTTGGGTAGCTAAACTTAGGTGCCTATCTGAGAACAGTGTCTGTCAGTCTCTTCCTTGTCTGCAGCTATAGATGTGTACAAAGTGTTAGGTTCTACTTGATAGCTAAAGTATATCTTAAAACCTAGATGATGTGGGTAAAAACCCCACCTGATCTTGTGAGAGTTCTGTAGGAGACTCCACTAAAAGCCTTTATATCAACAGCTATATTTGCAAAGCTGCTCAGGCAGGCCAAACTCTAAGAGTGCTACCTCTCAAGGACCCTAGTGAGATTTTTTTTTTGTCCCTTTCAACATTAAGAATTTTCAGTATTATGCATTCTGGCTCATAGGCAAAGTCCTGGGGAATATCCTAAGCCAGTCCCTCAGGAGGCATCCACATCATTTAACTTTAGATATCAACAAAGAAACAGCCTTCCTTTGATCTAATTGTTCCACTTTTTACCTTTATAGTCACAGAAGAAAAACGAGTAGTAGCAGTGTATGAGCCATCAGACATATTCTAGTTGTCTGCTCAAGAGTGAGATGATTTATACTTTGCTAGTGCTTGTTCCTTTTCACAAGGAAATGTAGATGACTAGGTCATAGACAGATGTCTCTGCTGTGGATGTCTACATGCAGATATACGAATTCCTCCCCCTGTGATATTTGCTCAGTCACTATCATTCTGTTTCACATATTGTGAGAAACGATGATTTTACAAAGCTTAGAGGTGACTTCTGTTGAAGATACCAATCACATTTGGTAGAAGTTAACTGCCAGATCAAGACTTAACAGTTTTCACCAAGCAATTTTCAGGAAATCTTATTCTTTAAGTATAGTCGGGTCCAACATGTTCAGCATTGCTGGGACCAGAAAAAATCATGGTATATAGTGCTTGTGAAGTGAAATAAATTAGGGTGTTTACCCTCTGCTTTTATCACTCAGACAGATGCAAACAGTTTGGAATTACATTTATGAACAATGTTGGTGAGATATGGTGCATACAGTAACAGCTAATGATGCTCTGATGTTTAGCTCTATGGCTGTACTTGACAGCTAAGTTAAGCTACGTATACATTGTACTCTATGTATGGAAACACATCAGCAGAACTTGCACAATGTTTTGAGACCTGTGATCCTTTCACTTTCTTTGACTAACTTTACAATGTCTCATTGCCTTTCTTTTGGGAGATTCATCTATGTGGGGAGTTACTGTGTGATACGACACTCTTCAGTGCCTGAAGTGTCTTGAGATTCTTTTGCAAGGACAAAGTCTGTTGGAACAAACATGTCCAAAAGCCTAAGACACTTCAGGACTTTGTGTACTTCTATAATCTGTAAAAAAGCAAGTGTTTATTATCTTCATTTTCTCTCCCTTCTTCTTGTCGGTTTAGTGGCAATGCTATAGCTCTGAGAAGAATTGTGCCAAGCTATTGAATATAAAGCTGTATTTTGGCTTTTGAGTATGCCAAAGTGTACACTTTGAGTATATTACTGATCTTTTGAGTATATTACTGACCTGTTGAGAATATTACTGACCTTTTTTTTGGTCAAAACTGGTTTAATTGAGTTTATTGGTATCTTGATAATTGGTATCTTGAGTTTATTCATCTTTGTCATAAAGTGGAAACACTAATATCATTTGCTGCTTCATAATTTTTTTTTTATGTTCCAGTAAATCATTTTTTACATGTATCCTGTTGTAGGTGACACAATAAATGTATTATCATTTTGTGTAAGTCTGTTCTGATATAGAATTGAATCAAAGAGAACAATTTTAGTTATCTTATGGGCATGGATTTTCTCAGGGAGCCAAGTCACAGTCCTTTCTATGGGGAGTGAACAGCACAAGGGGTTGTGTCTCCCCTTTCTCAGCTTAAAGAAGATCTACATCAGGCCCCATTCCCATCTCACCATTTCAGCAAATGTGGAATAAGGAGTGACAGAACAGATTTGTATCTGAACTGTAGCTTACATGAAGTTACAAAGGATGACTGAGATCAGAGAGAAGTATGTGGGCGCATCTGGGTTGGGATTTATGTCCCTTGGGTTTGTACATGTAAAGTTTACACATGTAATCTGAATAAATCTTCTTTCTTGGGCTTCTATAATGGGTAAAAGGCAGGAAAAAAGGCATCACAAAGAGTATTTTAGCTCACCTAAAAGTCCTCTGGTAATTATCTATAGTTTTAAAGAAACAGTGTCACACTGTAGTGCATTTGTTTAAGCAACCTGACAGCAGAAAAAAAAAAAAAAAAAAAAAAAAAAAAGAAGAAAGAACATATCTTTGATCCAGTTTTAGATGTACTTTTTGTGAATGGCAGGCAAAGCAGTCTAATTTCTGTACTGTGTGCATTAGGTCAGCCATGTCCATCACACACTGCACACCACGAGATGGCAGCATCTCCACACAGACTAGAATAGCATATCTAGACCCAATTTATGACAAAATCTTTGTGGCCTTCACAGACCTGCTATGAAGCAATATAACCCTAAAACATTGTCCTGCACACATGATCAAGTCCTTAGATGTGCAATTAAAAATACATTAGCATCCGTTTCAGAGCCCTCCCCAAAAGTTTTATACAAGTTGCTATTGCACTCCCTAGGATTATAAACTTAATCCCCAGTTTGGTGCATGTATAGATGTTACGTATATTATGCAACAAATGGTTTGAATATATGCAGAATAGATTCTTTCATATAGTCCTCAATTTTGACTTACTACTTACACATTCTGCCTTAAAGTGATGGAAAAGTAAAGAACCTGGAAATGCTGAAAGGAGGGATAAGGATGGATGAAGGAATGCTCTGAACATCTGAACAAAGTTGCTGAGCAGGGTGTTACTAAGGTTGCAGGAATTCCTAGTCTGGGGCTTTATGTTTTGGAAACTTCTCCTTTTAGTATCATCTCCTCTTTAATTTCTCTCCCGACCCACTCTATTGATTATTCGGTGTCCATTGTCTGTAAGACAAAGACATTTTAGCTTCACAGCTGAGCTCCCAGGGTGGCCTGCATTTCATATTATGATCACCTGTCTCACTACATATTTCCTGCTTTTATTACTGGTAAGCTCCTTTACTGGGTAGAGGGATCCAGTAAAAGGGGAACTAATGGCAAGCAAAGGTGGTGGGTCCCATCATCTAATGACATTTTTTTATGAGTCACCCAATGTTCAGCTTCCCTAATGAGTTCAACATTTCCAGTTTTCCCACAACTCCTGACAGACCTCTCAACTTAAATGGCCCGTCTACTATAAGCACATTAATTCAGCTTTCCTGAACTTTCCAGATCTCTGGTCTCAAGCTCTTTCCAATTACCCCCACTTCCAAACTCACCCATATCTAATACATTCTCTCAAATGTTCTCCTCCAACCTCAATAACATAACATAAACATCCAAATTGACATGAAATAAAGAATTAAAAATTAAGAAACCACAACAGCTATAATTATCTCTTGAATTTTATACGTGTACATCATACAAGTGTATCCAAATACTGTTATAGGCAGCAGAACTTAATATAGGAGTGAGGATTACATTTATGATGAACTAAGAAGGTGGTAAGAACAGAGAAAAAGACACCGGGGACACCTGAGCCCTTGAGACAGAGTAGGTATGTGCCTAATTAATAAAGGAGTGATTGGAATGATTGGAATAGTAATCTGGATTACTCAGTTTACTTGAAGAAGGCTAGAAGTGAAGCACCTAAGACTACTGAAGAGGTTCCCCTAAACCTAGATGTCTTCTGGCCTAAATAATTAAACAAGAGCACAGCAAAATGAGCAACTTGAGCATGAAGTTTGCTGCTTGATTGTTTATTTTTGTTTGTTTTTAAGCTAGAAGGATATTCCAGTTCACAGAACCTCATGGTTGTACTTGAATGGCCACAGTTTCTAGCAGCAGTTTCAAGTTTGGGCACAGGTTGTCCTGGGCATGGTCCTACCTTGAAAGAAACTGTGGCTGCATCTAGGCTGTATCATAAAGGTTATACCCTTTATGCCCTTTCTTTGCTTGTGGAGAGTTTGATGTGAAATCCAAGTCAGCCTTGAATAAAGAGCAAGGTCCCTCAGAAAAGGAATTCAAGGACTGGCTGATTCATTCTGTGGATAATACTCTGCTTTAACAGATGATACTGCTTTCTTGGTATTTCTGAATGCAGAAATATCTTTCACCTGAGACATAGTAAATTGAGATACAAAAGGTAGAACTGGGATAAGGACACAAAAGATTAGTATGTCCTCAAAGGGAGGCCCCAAAATAGCCCAAAAGCACTGCTTAAATGTAGTGATTATTGATTTTCAAGATTATGATGGCAGATTGTCTATTCCAGCAGCACATCTTTCCATAAACAAGAAAGATGGTTCTTTGGCCTAATTTATTCTTTCTTACAACAGATGTTGAAGAAAAATGCGAAGTAGATAATAATACTCAATCTTCTTTTATGTTAAACTTGAGATGCCTTGAGGCTCTCTTAGAAGGAGATTGCTGCTCCCTAGGTAGGTGCTTAGCACTTTTCAGTGTGTAGTTCCCATTAAATTGCCACAAGCTGTCTCAGAACACCTAGTAAAAAAATCACTAATGACTGTTGCAAACGTCTGCTACTATATCTAAAAGCAGATGTTTCAGACAAAGATTAGGAATATTTCCCTTGCGATTCAGGAAAAGCTGGAAAACTCTAATAAAAGTATAATATACATACGCTGATACCCAGAAGAATTCATGTAATTCCTTGGGTTTTGGTGCTAAGCTGTTAATGCACAGCAGCTGCAAACCTGGCTTTTCATTACAAATTAAGTGGGCTTTGTGTGCTTATGTAGAGAGAACTAGGGTTGTGGTACTGATCTGTATGAGGTGAGAAAAGCAGCTCAGATTCAAAACAAGAAATTCTCAAAGGTCTGCTAACAGTATGAAAATCCATGGGGAATTCAGACTGGCCTTCTCTTAGGTAGTATGTTGCAACATCACAGCAACTCAGCTTGCTAGATAAGTTCAGACAGAAGTTAGACCATTATGGTAGGCAGATATTTTCCTTTTTGGACTGTTTTTTTCAAGCAGCGATAATTGAGTGACGTAGTTGACTGGACTGTTTTCTCTAGACAAAGTCCTGTGTTTGTGTGTGAAGTTAAAGTATCCTTGATACTGCCATTTACACAGCTGCTTCTTGAGCTCACTTTGAACCTACAGAAGAGAAATTTAAGAACAGAATCAGAAAAAAAAAATTGCCAAGTTTGCCTGAATTTAGATCAATATGGCCCAGATGCATGGAGGCCCCTAAATCAGCCAGGCTTAAGCCTTGATACTTTTTAGAAGGAATTAATATGCCCTTATTCGTGGTCCTAAAGAAACAGACTGAATTTTGCAAATACAGAGTATAATCCAGAGTTGATGGTAGTTTCCGTTTCTAGGAGGAAGGATATTTTTTTCTCTAGAGGGAAGGATCTTTTCCCTCTAGAAAGGAAAAAGACAGAAAATTGCTAGCAAAAAATAAAGAGAAAGAACACAGACTAGCACAGACTAGTAAAGATTTCTATTGAGACCTCATGATGATACCTATATGACATAAAGCAGAAAGAACATCCCTTGATAGTAAAGTCACCAACCACTTGTAAAGGGTCACTGATTCAAAGTTTATTTTTTGCCCTTCTGTTGGAATTATATAAATACAGATAAAGTCAGCAAAGGTGCTGGGGGGAAAAAAAAAAGAGTGAGAGGTGTATTTCATGCTTTTCAGCACACATCAAAGCACATACAAAAAGACAAAAAAAAAGGAAAAAAGAAAAACAAAGGAAATTTCAATGGTTTTGATAATCTTATGTACTTGTTACTCACCTCTGCATTTGAGAAGCAATATAGGAGAGCAACAACAAAGCCCTAGAATAGGGAGGGTATGGAGAAAAAAAAAGTCAGCAGTCAGTATTTGAAACAGAGAATCAGGGACACAGCTTTTGTTCATAATTTGATTAACACAGCAAATATACAGATGTATATGAACACATATACATATATGTGTATTTGTATACATACACACACATACATTTCTAAATATATATAAATACATATATTTATATCTGTATATATAAAAATATATTTATTTAATTATTATTTATATGCATATAACGTTTGTTCCAGCAGAATTTAGGTGATATTGTATGATTTATTGGGTTTCAACATGTGGATGAAACATGCCCTCAGTGGACTGGATATATATACTTTTGTTCTCTTATGGAGATATTTGTGTTTAATTCAAAACAAAACAAAAAAAAAAATTAGGAACTCCTAACAGCTGAAAGATTATAATCATTTCTTCATTCCTCTTATATCTGCTTTTATTTTATCCAGAATTACTTTAAATCAGTTCACCCTAATCCATATCTTTATCTTCATGGCATCATATAAAGCACCTAGTCATTGCTATTCAATAAGGTAGATGTATTCTTTTGTGATTAGTAATACAAAGTCTGAGTCAGAACTTGTAAGTAGCAAGAGATTTTAAATAATGAGAGGGGAGCAAAAAAGGGAAAGATCTTGTGAAGGAGTAAGATGAATGTGTGTGTTGAATTTAAGCATGTTATTAACACCTGCTCTAATAACTAGTGCAAAATATAAAACTGCTCAGACCGTGGTGTTTCTGTCCAACCTCTTAAGCCCCTTAAGACTGATAAATTTCTGTCCAGTTTACCTGAAAGGAACCCAAGCCCAGTTCAATATAAAGTCGAGCTTCCAGACCAGTGCTTTCTGGGAAAAATGCAAATACAATATAATGCACTCCAAAGAGAGGGATCAAAAGTAATGTGGATTTAGCAAGTCTCCTGGGAAAACAAGAACAAAATAACATAACAAGGCATTGTTACCTGCATGCAGTTAATGATAGCAATATACTACAGAGGATCAACTTCAGAATGTGGGCAACTATGTTCAAAGAAGTTCTGGAAAAATTATTTTCTGCTTACTTTCTTACTTTCTGCTGTCAACATCTCTTGAGCAAAAATAAACAACAAATAAAACTATAAGTTTTCAGAATTGACCTTCAGTGGTTCTACTCCCTGCTAAATATGTAAAGGTGGAGTCATCCAGCTATGTGCTTTGATCTGTCCCTCTGAGATTAATCTTAGAGTGAGGTATCTACCACGTAAGTGTCTAAGCTTCAACACTTGCCAATGGATACCCATCCATTAACCATCCATGGGACTTGATTCAGTTGCTTAGACATGGATTTCAACACTGCTTAAGATGTCCCAGGCTTAGTCTTCAGGTCACCACAGATGGTTACAAGCGTCCTGCAGCCTGTGTCATGACTAACAGGCATTCATGAATGTCTTACTAAAAGTCAGATTTTTCACTAGAGTCCTCTGACTATTGATGATCACCATTGAATGTGCTGGAGTCAGAAACAGCAAGGATTAGATTCAGTTATGAGACTATGAGATTAGGGCTTGACCTGCTGGAAAGCACCTCCACGGAGAGGGACCTGGGAGTCCTGGTTGACACTAAGTTAACCATGAGTGAGCAGTGTGCCCTCGTGGCCAAGAAGGCCAATGGCATCCTGGCCTGCATCAGGAGGAGCGTTGCCAGCAGGTCAAGGGAGGTGATTCTGCCCCTCTACTCAGCTCTGGTGAGGCCGCACCTGGAGTACTGTGTTCAGTTCTGGGCACCCCAGTATAGGAGGGACGTGGAGCTTCTGGAGAGGGTCCAGAGAAGGGCAACCAGGATGATTAAGGGAATGGAACATCTCTCGTATGAAGAGAGGCTGAGCGAGCTGGGCCTGTTTTCTCTGGAGAAGAGACGGCTCAGAGGGGATATGATTAATATGTATAAGTTCAGGAAGGGAGAATGCAGGGAGGAAGGGGACAGGCTGTTTTCACTGGTGGCCAGCGATAGGACGAGGGGTAATGGCCACAAACTGAAGCATAAGAAGTTCCGTCTCCAGGTGAGGAGCAACTTCTTTACTGTTAGGGTGACAGAGCAGTGGAACAGGCTGCCCAGGGAGGTTGTGGAGTCTCCTACTCTGGAGGTCTTCAAAACCCGCCTGGATGCCACCCTGTGCCACATGCTGTAGGTGTGCCTGCTTGAGCAGGAAGGTTGGACTAGATGATCTGTAGAGGTCCCTTCCAACCTTAAATATTCTGAAATATTCTGAAATATTCTGAAACTATCAATCAGCATCATGGTACAGCTAAGAATTTAGAAGGTCTGTGTCTGTCTTTTGGCAGCTGTTTATGTGGAAAGGTCTGAAAGCAGGATGTATATATTACCTGAACACATTTATCACTTCATTTTTCAAAGTGGGCCATTTGGAGCCTTAATACTTAATTAGACTTATGATTTTCCCTCTTCTTCCCACTCTCTGCTCCCCTACAAGAAAAATAGAGGTGTGTGCTACCTAGGATGAAAAGGAGAGTCTATTTTTCACTTTTCTGGGAACTTCTCTTTCCACTGCTGTGGATTAGAACATTTTGTGCTCATTCCCATAAAACGTCTTTTAGAACAGCTAAAACAGGTCACCATCAAGAGACCCAGTAATACTTACAGAAAGTGGCTTGAATGGCTCCCTCCTCCCTCTTGAGATTTCAATTTATGTACTAGAATTCTGATCACATTAATAAATATAATAAAGTTAATCTGAAAAGACAAGACAGGACCTGTAAAACTGTTACAACATGAGAACACATCCTCAGCTGGAAGAAATCATATTAAAAAACAGTCACATGAATTACATTGGTACAAACCAGTGACGATCTGACCTCACATCAAATCCATGCATTTGAAATACTTATTTTTCCCACCAAAACCAGTTATACACAAACATTTGCTCAAATAGAATGAATTCAAGCATACATATCTCAGTATCATTATGTGTCTAGTATTAACTCCTTCTGTTCCACTTTGAGCACCTAGAAGGTCTTATGTGGTCTAAATATGCCCTCCTATTCCCTTCATTGATCATGAAATGGATGATAAAAATTGCCATCTGAAATGTTATAATGTTTTTTTCCTAAACTTAGATGGAATGAATCTCTGTGTACAGAGTAATTTTTGTCTTGAGTTTATAACCTAATGGTTTTAAAAACTTACTATGTAGTTCAATTTCATATGATATACAAGTCTTGCCTGTACGTATTACCTGTTTTTAGAAATGGCTTACAGAGGTGCAGATACTACTGGGATGGACTGGTGGAAGCAATGTGACTCCACAGTCTCTTAGCATGATACTAAAAAATATATGATTTGCCTTTTAGATTATTATTTAAACTGTAAAGGGGGAAGGAGAGGAAGCTGTGCACGAGTTTCCAGCTTTTTAAAATGTAAAACAAATCAAACATAGCACATGATAATACATATTATTTTTTCCAGTATACAGGAAAGAGACACATACTTAACTTTACAATTTCAAAAATGCTCAAGACAACATGCAAAAACATACTAATACAGTCAGCAGAATGGGGCCTTTAATGATCCATAGCACTAATCCATTTTCATCATCATCCCAACATCTGAAACAGCAAAGACAGTCAAGTTATACCTTTTTGCAACACATAGAACTATTTCTGTCTCAGGATAGGAAGGTGATAGACATTCAGTTTTCAAAGGTTCTCCCAGTCCTCATACCCCCCATACATCCTAAAAATGTTTCTGTGCAATCCAGTTAAAAAGATACATATTCATCAAGAGGCAAGGGCTGAGAAACCGAAGTGAGGTCACAAAATACACACTTATATTTTCAGGATTCCTTCCTACTCTCCTACTGAAAATATTATTATTTTCTAGGGTACAGTTCAGATATTGAGCTACTGTGCAGCCAGGAATGCAATGATTTGTGGCTTTTAAGGTAGGAGGTAAGACAGGTCCAGGTCCATGACACCAGTAAATGTATCATGAAGAGAGAGAGCAGATAGGGCTTTTGGTCCCTCTGGCTGTTCACACATTTAACACTAACTTAATATTCCAATTTTTCCTTCTTCCAGTTGAGTGCCTACATTTCAATTGTAGAATCGTAATAGTAGGAAAAGACCTTCAAGATCCTCAAGTCCAACCTTAAATTTCCTTTGCAGTCAAAGTAGATGACACAGCAGAGAAGCCTATGGCATCTTGCATGTCATCTTAAAGTGGACATCTAAAATTTAGAAGAATAATGTCCTAATAAAGCCTATTTCTTTCCATGAAACAGAAAGGGAGAACATGATGACTAGATCACAGACATCCAGGACTCAATTTGGCTTTCCAGATATAGTCATCATCAAGAGCCATTGGATAAACTCTAGTGCATCCCATCCATTCTTCATCTACAGAAGGCAGAGGCTCACAGAAACTGTGTGTCTGTTAGTCACATGTCTCAAGCATCTTAGGGGAGTCTCAAACTACCTGTCTAGGAGTAACTAGTGTAACCCTTACATTACAGTGTGACTAGAATCCCATTTCCTATGTGTAGGCTACGGTTAGACACTTTGCTGGAAGAGCACCAAAATTTCAGACACTAAAGTTTCAGTCCCCTCTTTAAGCCTGTGAGAACTTGTCTCTGAGCTCTTCTCTTGCTCATTCTCTCCATCTTTTGTTCTTTTGATGAAGTATCTTCATAATTAAGTATCCTATGCTGTATTATTCCACTACTGATTCAACAAATTTGCTCACTAATGTGGCATCTGTTTTTTTTTTCTGTTTTTTTCTTTTTTTTTTTCAATTTATTTATTTATTCTCTTGAAAGAGGAACAACAGAATAGGGTAAGATTTAAAACCTTCTTCAGTCTTCTGATTAAAAAAGGGAATGACATGCTGTAGAAAGAGTCCATTTATGAATGACTAGAATGAAGAACTGCTGTGCTGCTGACAGTGAAGTAATATAAAGAAAGGGAAACAGGATGTGCTAAAGGGGGTGGACTACTGGACTTGCTGTTTCTACATCATCATCATCCAGGCTCCTGAGCAGGTAAGTATGAAACAGCATCTCTTCCAATTGATCTTCCATATAAAATGACCTAAAACCCCTCAGGATATCTCTTAGTAAGTGAGCTTCCGCTTCATACCTGGCTCACATATTAAAAGATATAAAACAGACTGAAAGAACTGAATGAAATCAAAAGAATGAACTGCTTACCAAAAGCAGTTGTGAACAAATTTGAAGAGATTAGGATGAGAATTTTCATCCTAAGCAGTGATTTTCTGAAGAGAAGCAGTGATTAAAAAAAAAAAATCTTTTCAAATTCTGGCTGTTAAGAAACTAAACACAATGTCCATACTTGCAATGACATTCACAGGTCAGGTCAGGTCAGGTATATATCAAAATCAGAACACTAAAAGTTATTTTCTAATATATTTTCTTTCAAAATGTAAAGATTAGAGATACAGTTTCGGGTGGGAACTATGTTTCTGCTTATCTGCTGTTAATCTCTAATATTTAAATGCTAGCAAATTAAAATGCAATATAAAATAGGTTGCCTTCAGCTTCCTTACCCAAACTGTAACTCACCCCGTATTCTGGTGATGGATTCTTGTGAGGACCCAAGCAGATATCACAAGAGTAGGAGCTCCTGGAGAAATCAACATGGAACAGAATTTAATATTTTTTTGCTTGCCATGGCCCATGGAAAAATCATTGTAATAATATCCACAGCACAGACACATAAAACATCAGACAGTGGACCAGACAATCTTGCAATGACTTTATGCCCAATCAAGAGAATTAAATAAAAAAGAGGGAGAATAGAGGGATCTACTTTGGAACTACATTTTTAAAAATAACATCTGAGTATTAGTGGAAGGTTTGCATATGAATTATTAGCACCTGCATAGTGCGAGGAATCACCTATTTAACTAGAGCTATTTTGTTCTGTGAATTGTGGCCAGCACACAACTCTCTATAGAGATGAGGACTACTACATTCTTAAACAGAGATGTTTTCTTTATTATGTGGTCTGATGTGGCACTACTGCAGTACCACCTGGCACCGTCTATCAAAATAAATCACCTCAGAACAAATATTTTATCTAGTTTTAAATTGAATGGTAATACTAAACAACACAGAGAGGAAAACAGTACTAACCCCAGCCAGCAAATATGAACCACCATACATACTGCTTATCAGAAACAAAGGTCAGCAAAAGCAGTGTTTGGAGGTATATGCCTTCTATAAGCAGCCAGAAGAAGTTGGCTAAAATGCTGAACTGAAAGAATGCCACAGCAGCCTTACAAGCAACCTGGAAATGGGGAGGAAGAACAAAACATCAGATCTTCTTTCATTGGTTTTCATTGGTTAAGGATTTTCTTTTCCTCTATTTTTTCTTCTCTCACAAGTGTAAGTAAAATTCATTGTTGCCACATAAAAATGAAGGAATAAACACAATTTTTCAGTAGGTTTGGTAATCCATAATTTCAGCTGACTTTATTTCAGTTTTTTCTTTCTTTTTTTTCTTTGAAAAGGAGAGACTGGTGCTCCATTGCAGATTAAATTAATTAGTGGTAGAAATGGATATAGCTTCATTAGAGTCAACACAGCTGTACCTGATATACCAGAGATAAATACACCCATAGCTCTGCTTGTATAGCTTATTGCATAGGTTATTTGTATTATGACTGCAGTTTTGCAAGTTAAAAAAGATCGTAATAAAGAAATGTTCATATTTCCTTCACAACTAGTGTTAAACATTAAAATCAAGCAAAGAGAGTAGATTAATACCGTTGACATTAGGCAGTGGTCCATGGTTTCATCGGCAAACAAAACAGCATCTTTGGTGAAAACAGCAATTGCTCTCAGGATAAAGGATACAAACAGGTGCATATGGATATAATTCCGTGTACAGTGGAATTTTCTGACATTGGTAAAAAAAAAGAAAGAATAAAGAAAAAGTGTTCTTCAGGGGAATTTTTTTGTGGTCTCAGCAAAACCCAAGTAGGAATATACAGTGACTTCAAACTTTCCATATGATCTGTCACTACTTGAAAGGGAGCTAGGAACAGGAATCAGAGCAATCATGATCTTTTACAGTAATTAAAAATAAAAGAAAAAAAAAAAAGGCTTGTATAGCTCTCCTTGAAACCATTGAAGGAGTTATCATCAGCAAGGAGAAGCTTTGGGGCTATTAGCGTGTATTGCAATAAAACCTACACCTTTTAATTATCCTAAATAGTAATTCTGGTTTTTTGTTTTTTTTTAAAAAAAAAAAAAAACAAGCAAAGAAAAAAAAAAACCTCGTAACAGGCTCTTCATGTCCTTTCCAGTTAGAACAGAACTGAGCATTGGATCTGAGTTGCATTGGAGTACCTGCCTTTTCCTAGACTGCCCTGTCCAGTTTGACTTTGTGCTGAGGGAATCTCCTTGGACGTTTGGATAGACAAAGGTGTGTCCAGGGTCCTTCTATACATATGGCCTCTGAGACTACCAATAGACACCTCCTAGGAAGTTGTTTCTGTGCTCTGCAGTTAATTTAAGGTTTTTGCCCAAGTCCATTGGAGCTGGTCAAAAACACACTACTTTGCCTAATAAACAAAGCTATCAAATATGATATTAAAATTTCTTTAGACCTCTTCCACAGCTCCCATTTACAGAAGCAATGGTCCTTCACAGAGAGAATGGGCAATTTAATGGAATTGCAGATTCAAGGCATGAGACATACCGAGTTTCTGCAGAGTGCAGAGTGGAAGAAGAGTTACTGTATGTTAATGGTGATAACAGCCTAGGGTATTTATACTTCACGGAGAGATTGCCCAGTGAGCTTTATTGTTTGAGCAGAGGAAAGGAAAGGCTAGAAAGTGAGCAGAGAAAAACCCATTGCTATCAACAGAATTGAATGTCTCCAAAGATTTTGGAAATAATCCAAAAACAAAAACACAGAAAGCTTGAAAGGAATAAGTATAAAGCTGTCTTGAGACATCCTGAAAAGAGACCAAACTTTTACCTGAAGGCAGCAAAGACAATTAGAGCTGTAATGAGTGAAGTCACTGATGCTGCATAGCCAGCAGTGTAGACACGCCAAAACGCAGAATAATATGATTTCTATGAGAAAGAGAAAACAAAAACCAGTGCTGGTGGTTATGCAGCATGCATTCTGGTATGCTTATTTCATTAAGATGAGACTTCCCTTATTTTGGCATTCCCATCACCTTGTGCTCCTTTATGTGCTTAAGATATGCATCAAGGTTTTCCCCTTCATTGCTAACATACCTCATTTTTTGACTACTGCACAAGCTGAGGTATGAGTCCAGTTCCACAGCCTACAGCTCTCCTAAGACAGTGACTTCTTTGAGTACATCCAATAGGACAGTGCTAACTTGATAAGTAACTACCTTTCCCCCACAGAACTCTTGGGCATAGAAGCCTTCAAATGGGTGATCTGTGAAGCAGTAACTTGTGGAACAGGGCCAGATTATCCTCCATTCAGGTCAAACGGATGTTTCCCATTGAACTGAAAAGTGTTGTTTTTCATAAAGACAAACAGTTGAGCTGCAATAGTTAATAGAAAAATAAAATTTGCATTTTGCAGGTAAGGAAAGCAAGACATTGAGAAGAAGTCACCTTACATTGTGGAGACATTAAGGCCAAGATAACAGCCTCTCTGTCTTTAATTCCTTGTACAAACACAGTGGCACTATACTTCAATACAACATTTTTTTAATATAACTTCAACTATGCAAATTTTATTCTATTTCACTAGAAGGTCACCTAATTATTCAAAATCCCAGGAAAACAAGTTCTCTGAATCCAGGTAAATTTCCTCCTTGTAAATGCAATGGACAATTTGTTCCCTAATTGATCCAAACTCTGTTTATCCAAAAGGTAGCAACTCAACATTGAGACAGCCATTAGCAATTTTAAGTAGGCCCATAAATAAATCAGGTAACCCTGACAACCTAAGAACCATCCTGGTGTTTCTGAAATACTCTGAGGGTTTTATGCAGTATTTTTAAAACTAAGATGCAAGATAGAAATTGCATTCTTCAACCGAAGAATAAAACATTTGGATGCCTTTTCTATTTTATATCCATGATATACTCCATGGATATATGTGGAATAACACAACCATAGTGCAGATCGGAGTTTTGGCCTGAAAACTTCCACAATGTTCATGCAGTCGTTTCCTTGATTTCAGCCTTGGCCATGGAGCAATACTATTTCTGTGCACAGGTCACTGACTAATGTGAACTAGGAACTGCTAGGAACCAGGAACACAGCATGGAGAAAGCTGTCCTCATCTGCAGAGCAAAAGAGTTTATTTAAGTGGATTCCAGCTGGCCTCAGGGATGGAGAACACAGTGTGCTGGAATATACAGCACCTGAAGAGTCTTGTATCCCTTCTGAAGTGGTTGCACAGTCTCCAGAAATGGTCCAGAGTTGTAAATGCATTTATCTTTATAGCTTTTCTGCAGGGTAAATAAGTGCAAATGCTCTCATTTTACAGGTGAGGAACTGAGCGTGTACTGCTTGCTAAAGCTGTGCTCTGGTTTCTAGGTTCATGGAGCTAAACAGGTTAAGAAAATTATGTCTACACTTCCTAAATAATTAGATACTTGAACTTTTGCACTTGTGCTTTCATGTTTGGAGAGGCAAATGGTTGATTCCAAATAAAAGGAAGCATGTCAGTGACATCTAGATAGTATAGGCAATCCACTGAAGGCTTCAGCAAAAGTTTAAGGTCAAGACTGACACAATAGTGAAGTTGTAATGGCAAGACAAAACCCATCTTCTACTAGCGCTTGGTGTCAATTGGCCCAAGGGGATTAGATGTTGAATGGAAGGATGTCTGTCAAATCACAAACCTCTCTAGCTTTACATGTATTGCTTTAGTCTGCAGCAAATAACCCTTTTTCCACTAAGAATTCTCAACTCTGAATATCACAGGGGGTTATGTAAGTTAGACTTTTCCTTCACAGAGCAAGGAGAGTCAGTTGTTTCTATCCAAAAACCACAAGAAGAGGTGGTTTTTGGATAGGCTGAAAGCAGTCATCATATCCCAATGGTCAGGGTCTTAATGTGAGATGCAGGAGCCCTCCTGGATACAAAGTGGAGATGAGGGCATGGAGACACTTTTATTCCCATGTGTTGAAACTATCCAGTTTAGCAAACATCCAAACTCAAGGCAGAGGCAGCAAAGACAACTCTATCATTGCTTTTTAGCTGTGAGACAGAAGTTACAACTCAGACACTAACTTCACCAGTGCAGTATGAAGCATTTCCTTCCTGGGGCACTAGGTGATCTGAGGAAAGTAGAAATTTAAGTTGTATGAAGATGCAACTGAAAAAGAAGTGCTGCTGGAGTCTAATGGAGCACCTAAGGATGCTCTTTAGATAGCGAAAAATAGGAGTTCATTCCTGCTCCTCTAAATGACTAATTTCAAGTGCAGAAATAGTCAGTGGTATTCAAGAGTTTCTTCTTAAATAACTGCCTTACCACTGTGTTATAAAAGTATGGATATTTTTTTCTATGACTCAGAGAATATCTGAAAAAAAAAAAAAAAAAAAAAAAAAAAAAACCAGGAGGGAATGGAGAGATTCAAAGTACTGTTCTTTGAAAAATCACCCACAGACTGGTAGAGCTTCCTTAGAAGGTTAATAATATAGATTCAAATCCCCTCTGCCAATGAACCAAAGTCTTTGTTAGGCTGGACAAGCAACCTAAGCACTACTGAGTGACATCAACAGAAGAGAATTGATATAGAGAAAAGTGGTCCTGCTACCTGCTTCTTTTGTGCTTTCCACTGAGTTTCATTGGTTAAATAGGATCTAAATGCACCTAAAAGTTTGGAGCTTATCGCTGAGGAAGGACGATAACTGGATTCTGAAGTTATGTAGATATAATGGAGTGTGCAGCTGCTTGGCACATTCAAGAGAGCATGCCTGGACATGTCCCAAAACAGGAAATCAAAAACTCACCTGATCCTCAGGTGCTTTACTGGAACCTTCATCAAAACCACATGCAATGGTGTAAGGTGGAAATGGTTCTGACCAATACGCCTCCTCTGTACAGTTTCTTTGAAGGGTGCCTTCAGTGGTAAAATATATTAAAGAATAAGCTGTGGATTTTCTTTTCATTTCTTGTTGACAAGAAACAACATATTTCTAATCCTTTGTCAATTCTTAAGTTAGATACTTACATGTCTAGTCATGCTCATCAAGATTAGCTGCCGAAAATTAGTATTATTCTATATACTATATTCTTTATATATGAGAAGTTGAGACAGTTGTTCACATTCATTTCAAGATGCAAAGGAGCATCTACATTTCTTATAGGATATTCATTTTGTGAATTCAGTCTTCATACAGAGGAAACTAAATGAGGCAACTTATCCTGCAGCTACAACTTAGTTTCTGCTTGTGGACAAAGGCCTGAGTGACTTGATCTAGCTTTGAACTTAGATCTGGTCTTTGATCCTGCCCTGACTGGATGGTAGGGTTAGATGGCCTTCAATGCCATCCCTTCCAGTATTATTCTATGCCTGTCGGTGAGCCTACAATATAAAAATATACAGTTTTAAACCACAGCAACCTATTGTGATTGCATTTTTTTTAACCCACCAAAGAGACAAGATAATTTCATACAACACAAACACAACAAAAGAGTGACAGCCTTGCACTGACTGTAAGCCAAGATACCCATCTTAGCTGGCATAAGGAAGCATGATGAGCCATGAAAATACGTATATTGGTGAGCTTTTATATATAATAATGTATTTAAAAAATATCTACAGATAAAAAAAAAAAAAAAAAAAAAAAGGTCTTGCCATGGATATTGGTGATTTCTTCAAAAAATCCTGGACAGGGAACTTTAACCACTTCCCCAAAAGCAGCTCTTGGCCAGCAACTTAGACCATCCCAGTCTCTGGGGCATCCTGAAAAATAAACAAGAAAACAACTCAACAACTCTAAATAAGGAAATTCATACATAATATTACACAACTGATCTTCCACAGCAAGATTTTTTTTTGTCTTTCCCACTAATTTGCATGAAGAAGAGCCACAACAGCACCTGCAGCTCTGAAAAATGGATTGTATTGTTTTTCTCTGTTCCTTGAATGCATTGTCTCTCACATACCCGCTTAGCATTCTCCCACCTTCTCTTACAAGATAACGCACATAAAATTAAAGCAGGCAAAATCTGAAAGTCAAATCAACTGCAGCTCTTTCCATCATCAAAACAGAACACAAATGACCAAAATAAAAAATGCAGAATAATTATTAGCACTTAAAAACTCAGCTCTAGCCTCTCAATTCTATGCTGCTGGTCTATAAGCTCCACTTGGCTTAAAGGAAATAATAGAGGCTGAAATCTTGATCCATACAATCATCAACATTTTTTTTAATTAATTTTCTTTTTTTTTGCAGTGGGCTTCAAAAGAGATTAGATTCACTCTGACATGAAAGATCATCTGTGAGCATCCTCTGAAATAACCATCAGCAGGAGTATGTGTGACTGGTTGGCATTCATGAGGCGCCCTAAATCAGGTTGTTGGTTGATGAGACAGGGCACAACACTAGCTATGAGTCTGATAACAAGTGTTTTCAGAAGAGAGAGTTAATCACAGCTTTGTCACTGAGACATCGCTTCGAGACTCAAGCTGCGGTCACGCAGTGTCTGCTGGTAAGTAGGTGTAGGTGCCACACAGAAAAATTATAAGTATGTAAAGGTGCCTGAAACAATAAAAAACAGCACTGTGCTGCAGCAGAAACTAATCTCTAGGTAGTCGTAAGGCGGATATAAAACAGTGCATGGGTTTCATTTGGGAGTATTGTTTTGTTTCACCAATTCCTTTTTGCTTCCTCTATAACGGATGACAAGGCAAATCTAAAATTGTCAACAGTTGAAATGTGGAAGTAATATTACTTTTCTGTAGCTAAGCAAAGTTACTCTCTGTCTTCCAAAAGGATAGTACCAGGAATCTCCCCTAGGAATATGTTCACCCTTGGGAGGTTGAAATTCCTAGTATTCCCAATTTGCCAGAAGGGAAAACAGGAGCCTAGATTCATTATCCTTAATTTCAGTTGCCTATAATGTGTTACCTAATCTAAGCTATGTTCCTTCTTTAATCAGTAGAAAGAGACAGAGACTTCCAGAAGATGATTCATTCCACATATTGGCGGCTGCTTTCTGAGGATGGGATGAATCACTCACTGCATGAACTGAGGTGATTAAAGCCTGAACTAGAATGCTAATATTTAAACATGACTGAAGTTAAGTAATGGGTGTCCCGCCAAGCCAGGCAGTGGCCCAGTCTCTCAAGAGACGTCAGTACCTAAAAGGACCTTCTTATAGGGACTAAAACACTTCTGAAGGGCCGGACCTAACACAAAACAAAACAAACTAGCCTATTTGAGCTTGTGGAGTTAAAAAAGAACAGAATCAGGTAACATTACGTGGGAGTTGTACTTTGATGCTTTAAGTCCCAGATCTAGCTTCATTTCCAGCTAAAGTTAATAGCAGGGAAACCACTGAGTGCAGAGGCAGCAAGAGCATCTCACCCACTGAGATATTCAAGAGATTAATGATTGGGACATGCCACCTGAGACACCATTAAGACAACTGCAGTAGAGTTTGCATCAAGTTGTGTCAAATAGTGTTGGTACTGCAGATCTTGTCTGCTTCAGTCACCTAGATCTCTCTGTCTCTTTTTTCTTTTTTTTTTTTTTTTTTTTAAGACAATAGAGAAAAATAAGCATTTTTAGAGCTTGATTCAACTGACCTATTTTTACACATCACATCTCCTTCAAGGTGAGAAGAATTGCCCCCTGGACTTTACTGATGGCACTCATACACAGTGCTCTGCACCTAGTTTAGACATAGTCTAGATTACAAAGTCTGCAACTTGTGTGAATTCCACTTCCCATTCTCAGCAGCTACTAGGAAGTAAATCTTTAAAAATCTCTTGCAGTGTCTCATGTGCAGTTCCTGAAAAATCCAAATGCCAGGAACTTTTTAAAAGTTTTAGTCCATTTTTAAAATATGGTAAACAAAATGGTGGGTATGAGTTGTGTTCCCAGATCTATTTTTTTTTTTTAATGCCTCAAATTTGTAATACTTTTTTCTGGGGGTTAGTGTTTTGAGTGCAAAATCTATTCACGAGGCATTCTGGACTTGACAGTGTGAGGAAAAAAAAACACTAAATAATAATAGACAGAAATAAGATGGAGCCTGGGTATTAAAACTCACAGAGAAATAAATAGGAAGAAACAGGGCATATTCTGGGATTGGTCTCTAAATTTCTGACATTTGCTAAAGTTAAACTTTCAGGTGATCTAAGATGGCTGAAATTTTTCTATCTATCTACATCAAATGTATGAGGCATCTTCTCAAAACTCCTCAGTAGAAAATAACTTGTGTCAACTGAAAATTCTAGTACAGAGAACTCACCTCTATGCACCATTTCTTACAGAATATCATATCATTTCTTTATAGAATCTGAAATATTCGGTCTAATTTTCAAATTTTGTATCTTTTCAAATTTTATATCTGAATATATTTCAAAAGACCATCACAACATCATCAGAAAAAAAAAAAAAAAAACTTCTGAAAAAGTTGAGATAGAATATTTTGAAGTAGACTGTAGAAAATGATTCATTTCTTATCTAAAGAAAGCACTTAAGACAAATGCTATGAAGAAGGCTTCAGAGTCACTCATTTTCTTTCATTTACTCTTAGGTGAAGCCCTACAAGACTGCTAGCCAGACATAGGCATTGAGCTTTTAAAGAAATCTGAAATTAAATAATGTGACCCTTCAGTCTGTAAAAGAGCTATTCAGAGACCATATAAAACATGAATGTGGAATCAAAGCTTCATTCAAGAACAAATAGTACCTTCGCACTGTGCCCCCAAAGTGGTATGAGATATATTCATATCAGAACCAAATGTTCAGGGCTGTTATTTTACCTTTAAAATCAAGTGAAATGGATTCATTCTTTTCTAAGCAGAGAGCCTCCTCTTTCATCACCTGTTGGAATATCTTGCATTCTGGATGAATTCCCACAACCTTAATAAAAAAATAAATAAATAAAAAATAAAGGACAAAACAAATCACGAGCTTCTGTGATTATCACAATGGATAGATCTGAATTTCCTTCCAGTTGGTACCTCATGGTTTGAGAATGTTTAAATTCCAGATGAAGAGGTTTTTTTCAGAAATAGAGTATGCAGAGGAGGAGGAAAGACAAAGAGAAAATGAGAATGTTATCTTGAGCTCGTATTGATTTACATACACAAATGGGCATGGATATTCTCAAGGATTTTTGGCATATCATAACACTTGAGCTCACGCAGCACCTTCTCTAAAAATTAAAATATATATCATCTCCCATTTCCACCTTTCTTTTTCACAAAACTTAAAACTTTCATAAATTTGGATCTTCGCATCTTTGTCAATGAGACAGAACTGGATGAGTTCATCAGCTCCTGGAATAGTCACAGAGTCCCTCAAACATGCATAAGCCTGACCACAAACACTTTATTTCTTCCCTTAAAAAAAAAACAAATAAAAAGGAAATAATTTCTTTAATCATAAAGAGGATTTCTTTAGTTAATTAGTTTCAGTGTTCAGAGGTATCTATTGGCAAAATATTCCTAATTACTCTTGGGAACACCTTGGAAATCAGTTTTTCTCTATCATCGAAGAAATTATCCATAAGTCTGACGGTAAAGATTTAGTTACTCTCCTGGAGGGGATATCTTGATGCTGAGGCTGACAGAATGGTTTCTTAGTCTTCTTTGAGCCTTACAGCCATTTACATATGACCTAGTTTTGGGGGGCTTCTTTTACAGTCAGTGGAGATCTAAGGTATATATTACAGGCTACTGAACCCATAATCACCAAAATCCATAGTCTAGAAAGGAACTAAACTGTGTTTGGATTCATGAATTCTGCCCTAAACTTCCATTGTTTATAAAAATATTTTCTACATATACAAAATCTTACATGGAACAGAGTGGTGGGCTTGCTCCTCTGCAAGTTAGGCTACTCAAAGCAAAATCTGAGGCTCTGGGGATAGTGATTTTAATTGAAATGATGGATTGAAGGCTTTCTGAGACATTTCTGAGGAAGACTGAAGGCCATTCTAAGCCTTTAATGACTTTGAAAATACAGTACAGATGAAAACATCCCTGCTATATTGCCTTTTCAGTCAAGGAAGTTGATTTATTTGCCTTCAGATGATTTTTTAGTGAGAGGTGCAACCAGGACTTCTTTTAGTCTTAACAGAAACTTTCCTGGCATGTAGACCATTGCAATTTTGAAATGATATCTGCCTGGGGAAAAACAACAACAACTTTAAAAAAGACTTAGAAATTCTTCCAGAAACCTATATATGGTTTCTAAAGTAACATGGACAAACTGCTTTTAAATATGTAACCCTAGAGATCATTCATACATGCTAATATTAGAACAGCAAAAAAAGAAGTAAGGACACTGTATAAAAAGTAAATTAAAATATGGCTTTTTCATGCATTACTCTCCTCCATTGTGTAATTTTAAATACATTTTGTAAATCAGCATGAGCAACTCTTAAAATAGTACCTCTTGCTGTTCCACTATAGTAACACAATTCTGAAATGCCATTTTTCAGATTATAATAGGTTCCCTATGTATCGCTTTATCTTATAAAATACAGCTCAATTTCCGTTCTATCTACAGAACAAACAAACAATTTGAGTAGCAGTGACAAAGTGATTGCTATATAAACCCCTCACCATTTAAATCTATAAACATGGATTCAGCTGGACAGGGAACAAGCGATTTCTTCACTTTCTATAATTTCTGGACTCTGCTACTGAGGATGAGAAACTGTATTTGGAATATTGTTAGGCATGATGGCTAGCAAGTCTACATCAGCTAAATCAGACATCTC